GTAAGGCTAATGTGATAGCTGATACATTGAGCAGAAAGACAGAGAGAATGGGTAACCTAGGGTGTCTAGTAGTTACCAGAAAATTGTTGGCTAGGGAAGTGAAAACCTTAGCTAAAAAAATTATGCGACTTGATGTATCCGAAAGGGGTGGATTGCTAGCCAACATAGAATAATGGTCTACCTTCCTAGATCAAATTAAGGACATGCAAGTCAAATATGTAAAATTGGGAAAGATTAGTGAAAAAGTGGTGCAAGGTAAGGCCAATAAAGCCATTCTTGATGGTAAAGGTGTTTTTCATATCAAAGAGCAAGTTTATATGCCCCAAGTTGGTGAATTGATTCGTACTCTCTTTGCTAAGGCTCATAGCTCAATATACTTTGTACATCCTGGTGCAACTAAGATGTATTGCTAGTTGAGATAACATTATTGGTGGGGTCGAATGAACGAGACAATGTATTTTGTGGCTAAGTGTCAAAACTTCTAGCTAGTGAAGTACGAACATCATAAATTGGGCAATACTCTTCAGTGAATGCCCATTCTTGAATGGAAGTGGAAAAGAAAAATTATAGATTTTGTTTTGGGACTTCCAAAGACCTTAGGGATGTTTGTTTCGATTTGGGTCATTGTGGATAGGATGACTAAGTCTACGCACTTCATATTTGTTCAAGTGATATATATTGCATAGAAACTAGCTAAAGTGTACGTCAAGGAGATTATGAGATTGAATGGGTGTACATTGTGATCATTTCGGATAGGGGAATGAAGTTTACCACAAAAAGTTAGGGAATGTTGTATGAAGAGTTAGGACTAGATTGGATCTTAGTGTAGCATTCCGCTTTCGAATCGATAGTTAGTTTGAGCGGACGATTCAAATATTAGAGGACATGATCCATGGTTATGTCATGTATTCTGGAGTCCATAGGGATATTTTCCTACACTTAATTGAGTTTGATTACAGTAATAGTTATCACTTGAGCATCGATATGGCACTATTTGAGGTTTTGTATGAGAGAAAGTGTAGTTCTCCAATCGATTAATTTGACACTTTTGAGGTGACACCTTGGGGTACTGACCTGTTGAATGACTCATTAGAGAATGTAAGAGTTATCCAAAAGAAACTTGTGGTAGCTCAAAGCAATGAAAAACAGTTGCATTTTGCAAGGTCAGAGACCTCCACTTTATGGAAAGTCAGAAAGTGTTACTCAACGCCTATGAAATGGTCATGAGGTTTGGGAAGAAAGAGAAACTTAGTCCAAGATTTATTGGACCATTTAAAATTCTTAAGTGTGTGGGGTCGATGACATACCAATAGGCGTTGCATCCAAGCTTATCTAGAGATCACCAGTGTTTCATGTGTCTATATTGAAGAAGTTTCATGGCGACGATAATTACATCATCTATTGGGATTATGTGTCACTTGATGAGAACTTGTCTAATGAAGAAGAACCTATTGTTATCCTTGATAGATAGGTACATAAAGGTTGTGTTGGTAAAGGTTCCAAGAACTGTTTGATTGAGGAATCCACTTAGGAAACTGAAGCAGACATGCTCAATAAGTATCCACAATTATTCATTGTTATAGATAATTCTTGGGATTTCTTCCTTTTAAAAGTATCTCACAAAGAACAATTTCAAAACCCAAAAAATATGTTTCTTTACAAATAGTTTGATAGTAAATTCCTAACTAAGAGACTCGTGGAGTAGGTAAACCAAACAAAGAATGAAAGAGGTTCAGTTGACAAGATATTTTACATTGATCGAAATCAATATGGACTTGGCTTTTCCATTCAAGAGTAAGTGCTATCATATTTCAATCATCCTATTTTAACATCTTTTTTTCTGATGGCTCGAGCATCTGAGTGTAGTACCACAAAGTGATTTTATTGATAATAAAATAGTTCTGTCTAAATAAGACACGTTATACAATGTAGTCATCTCTGAAGTTTTAAAATCTCTGTTGAGATCTTTATTGAAGTCACAATCAAAGGGCATATTTTCTCATTATCTCTGAATTTTTTTCATTAACATTACGACTTTCAACTAAATTGATGGAGCCTTCTCACATTGCTTGAAACTTTGATGGAGAAGACTTAATTTTTTTCCTTAAAGGCTAGGATTTGATTTAGGGCTTTGAATCTGCAGACGTGAACACGTAATTTGAGTTCTTTAAACTATTAGAATTATTAGCTTTTAGGCGTAAACAAGGAAACAAGAAACACATATGCTGAAAGCTGTTTCTTCTTTGCCTTTTATTTCTCTTTCCTCTCTTTTCTCATTTTATGTTTTTTCTAAATCTTTTTGAAACCAATATAATTACTTCCTTAGTTTGTATATATGAAAATATTTTATTTTTAAAAAAATATTATTTTTATCTAAATAATTAAAGGTTAAGAGTATAAAAAAGTTCATGCTAATTCTTTGAATTGTCACTTATGTCATGAAAATTGACCACTAAACTTATTTTTTTCTCTCAATTTTCATTTATCGTACTTTAAAAAAATTATCTTCATATTTCATATTTTTTTAACTTCTACTTTTAGGACTCATTTAAACATAGGAATTATTTCTTAAAAAAATAATTATTTTTCACTTAATTTGAAAATTGATGTTTGATAATGAAAATTTGAAATACAACTTTTTCAACTAGAACGTATATTTCAAGTTTAAAAAAACATGTTAGTGTAATCTGATTTTTTCAACTCACTTTTCATTTTTAAAATTGTATTTAAGTACATTCAAACATGAATATCACATGACTCTATGTTCAACTCTAATTCCGTTTATTTCAAATACAATAAAAAGTATATATTTGAATTATATAGCCAAATGCCAAATAAGAATAACCATAACCATGCTTTCTAGGTCCACAGCCCCTTAATTTTCAATGTGCAATTTTAATAACAATTGTTTCACTACATTTTATATAAGTTTTATATAGATTTAATTGTATATGTATTAAAGATTCATTTTACTAAATTAGTCTTATTAATTATATTTTAAAATTTTAAATTTGACTATTAATATCTATGTAGTTATTTGTTGATAAAAATGATAATTTTTAAAAATATTTTTTGTTAAAATAAATAAATTATTGTCATATACACCAGTAATTAAATTAATTTTAAAATAGATTTAGGAAAAAAAAACAGAAAATAAGAAAAAAGAGGGAAGAGAAGGGCATGAAAGAGAAATAAAAGACAAAGAAGAAAAATAGAACATGGATTCCTAGGTTAGAATATAAATTTATAAACTAACGGAAAAGGGTCAAAATTATCCCTTAACTATTCGAAATAGGTCAAATATACCCTTTAACTATTTTTGGGCTCAAAACTATCCGTGCCGTCTAACTATTGGATCACTTCTACCCTTTCTTTTAACGGACTAATATGTGGCATCCAACATGTAAATAATAACGCCACGTGGACGTCCACCTAAGCACAACAATGTGACTAACCCACCCACCCCTTAAAGCCTCCCCGTAGGTTCTCTTTTCAGCCTCTTTCCGAGAACCTCTGCGTCGGTTCATTCTTCTTCACTATCATTCTATTTCTTGTCTTATTTTCTTGATAATCGTGAAATTCAGATTCGATTGTTTTAGATTTACTGGTTTTGAGGAAACTTCAAATTTCAATGCTTCGTTTGAAATGAATGAACATTGAATCTACGCCTGTGATTTTCTTAGGATTTGCGCATATGGATTTATAATTCGGAATACTTGATGAAATTTGATGATGATGTATTATTGGAGAAAGGTTGCTATCAATATGAATTGTTGCTTGAATTTGAGTTTGTACACATGATGTGGCTAGTTGTTTATTGAGATCTATATTGACTATTGATCCTTATCTCCTGGAAATGAACTTTATGGAGGCAATTGGTGCTTTGCTCCTGCGAAAATTATAGTTTTGATTATCAGTCTTATATATTCTTATGCATCTAATTGATAATGAAATCCTCAAAAGGGATTCTACCATTTTATTGTATGAAGTATACACATATAATGAACTGTTTCTGAAATATTTCTTGGTTCTTTATGGAACCTCTGGCACCTCCATATTGCAGTTCTTCAGGCCTTTAAGAATCAACCATTCCACGCTCCATGTTCGCTAACATATTGATCTCTGGATCCCTCTAAAATGAGTTAAACAATACCTGCTTTTCCTATCTGCCTTGAAATTTGCAGTACCTACTTTTAATGGGTGGCTGTATTAGTCACTTTGGTGCGATTAGGTGGACGTCCACGTGGAGTTATTATTTACACGTTGGATGCCACATATTAGTCTATTAAAAGGAAGGGTAGAAGTGATCCAATAGTTAGACAACAGGGGTAGTTTTGAGCCCAAAAATAGTTAAAGGGTATATTTGATCTATTTCGAATAGTTGAAGTTTTTGACCCTTTTCCGATAAATTAATATCCTCATATAACTTGTACTAGTTGTACCTTATATATAGTAAAAATTTTCGGTCCATTTCTAATAATTTTGAGAGTATTTTTTACCCTTTTCCATTTAATAAAAGGTAGATTTTATGATATTTTTATTACTCCCTATGTCCCAATTTATGTGGGCATTTTTCTTTTTTGAGAGTCAAACAGTTTAAGTTTGATCAGAAATTTACGCACGAAATCTTCAAATTTTTAGAATTGAAATTTATATATTTGTAAATTACGTAAGAAGTACTATAAGTTATAATAATTGACAATTCGAAATGTTTAAAAGATTTATGAAAAACTTACGGTCAAAGATAGATTTGTTTGAATCTCGAAATTCAAAAAGTGCCACATAAAATGAAACGGAGGTTTTAATTTATCATATACTTCAAGAAAATCAGACAAATATTAAACCTAAAAGTTTTTTCTCATGAGTTGAAACTTTAATTTCTTTTGAGAACACTATTAAGGTAATAAATAATTTCAATAGTTTTACATGAATAAATATGTGATGAAAAAAATAAATAAAAGAAAACCATAACTAAGAATATAAATACCCACTAATGTTTTGATTGGTTGAAAATGTAGGATTATGCCTAGCGAGGTTGGTTCCCTTTTCTCTCGAATCTTCTCAACATCAAACTCACCATTTTCTCTACTTCCTTTGCTCCATCATCTTCCATCCATGTCGATTTCCACCAAAATTCCTCATCCTCTCCTTCATCACCCTAATTCACCATACCCCAAAACCTCAAAATCCTCTTTTTTATACTCAACACCCTCTAAATTAACCTTCTTTAGATCCATTACCATTGAAAGAATTTCAACAAAATCTGTTTCTGCAACCCCAGCAGCAGCAGGAGCAGGTGCAGCTTCAGAATCCTCTTCTTCATCTCTCCAACCCATTGAAGAGCTTCCGCCGAAGCTTCAAGAAATCGTCAAGCTTTTTCAAGCAGTTGAACTACCAAAGGCTAAATACGAGCAACTGTTGTTTTACGGCAAGAATTTAAAACCACTTGATACCCAGTACAAGACTAGTGAAAATAAGGTTCAGGGTTGTGTTTCACAGGTTTGGGTTAGGGCGTATTTTGATTCTGAGAAAAATGTTGTATTTGAGGCTGATTCTGATTCGGTACTTACTAAAGGTCTTGCTGCTCTGTTAGTTCAGGGACTTTCTGGAAGACCTGTAGAAGAGATTTTAAAAGTTTCCCCTGATTTTGCTGTACTTTTAGGGTTGCAACAAAGCTTAACTCCTTCTAGGAATAATGGGTTTTTGAATATGTTGAAGTTAATGCAGAAAAAGGCACTTCAGTTGTATGTTGAAGCTGAGAAAGGTGCTAATTTAGGCCAGAGTGAAATATCGAATGCCTCGTCGACTGAGTCTCACGATGTTAATGGTAATGGAAATGTTGAGTCTATAGCCAGTCCTGAAGTTAATGGAAACAATGCAACTGTTGGTGCTAGTGATGATGGTGTTTTGAGGAGTAGAGGGATGAGAATCAAGGAGAAATTGGAGAAGGAACTTAGGCCTGTTGAACTAGAAGTTGAAGATATATCTTATCAGCACGCAGGACACGCGGGGATTAGAGGTAGTGATGGAGAGACACACTTTAATTTAAAAGTGGTGTCTGAGGAATTTGAAGGCAAGAGTTTGGTTAAGAGGCATAGGATGATTTATGGTTTACTGCAAGATGAGTTGCAGAATGGACTACACGCATTGTCAATTGTGGCCAAGACACCGTCTGAAGTTGGTAGTAGTTGAATTGCTGGCGTCAAGAGAGGTCTGGTTCTTTTTGTCACGTAAACTTTTCATCCTTCTGGAATTTATTGAAACTTATACCTCATAATAGCTTGTAGCATAAAGTGGATAGCTATGACGAGGAGTCTGTTTTGTCGCGAGAATCTTAATAAAATTGTTCCAGGATTTAAAACTATAGTTTTCTTTCCTCCCAAGAATCATTTTAATACAAAGCTTCAATTGTTATAACTGCTGTAATTTGGTTGCTTCAGTCTTATCAACTTTCTCTGTGACACACTTGGACCTGCTAATCAACTTCAAGAATGATAAATTAGCTATTTGGAGTGCCATTACCTTGATAGCAATGAAAATTTTATCCTTATCTTGTACAATGATGATGCAATTTTTTCTAATTTCAGCTCAACTTGTTGAAATACAATTACAATTATCCTTTATAAGTAACTCTACTTTGTTAGGCCTTTCACGTTTATGGTAACCTAAAAAATGAATACTTTTAAGTTTTAATAGGGTTTTTAGTGTAAATTCATGATACTAAAGAAGTCTACCTCTAGTGAACAATGCTTCTGGTTTCCCCGAACCAAAGTGATTTAAATATTCTATCACATTCCGTGGGAAATGAGATTTCTAAGTCGCATTAATTTTGTAATCTGGGGGATTTATGAGAGCTATAGAAGGATTTGTTATATGTCACTCTTTTCTCTTGCAACTTTGTGAACCAAGGAATCTATACATCAATTTAATTGTGAAGAGTATCTAGACAATCCTGAACAATTTGCTCCATTGCTGAGTATCTAGACAATGCTGGGATTTTTTCTTAAACATCTGGTGGCAAAGTGATGTCACAGACGTCAAAGAGTTTGTTTGTAGAGCTGCAATCCCAAAGAATATCCAGAAAGCTGAAGCAGATATGGAGGACCACTCCATTGTGCATATTTTGGACTTTATGGTTGGAAAGGACCAAAGCTTGCTTTGAAGGGCATAGGGATCACATCTCCAGAGTTAAGAATAGATGTATTCATAATCTATAATGTTTGGCGTAAATGCAGTTCTTTTTTTTTTTTGATATCCGAGAAATCCGTCTATGACCCGCCCTTTGGACCAATCACAACCTTCTAAACTCGGTGGATAATGGACCCGCCCCTCTACCCTTCTCCACTTAAATACCGGGTTTCGCTTTGCATGGTTTGGGGATTGAACCTGCGACCTAAGCCACAAATCCTCCACCTTTTGCCACTTGAGCTAGGCCTTGGGGGCAGGTGTAAATGCAGTTCTTTGGTGGATCTGTATCAGTTTTTGGATCTCTTGTATTTGTTAGGAGGGTTGTAGGGTGTGTTTTCAGGGATGTTTTCCTTTGTATTTTCCTGTACCTTCTTTGTACCTTATTAATAAGCTTTTACCTCTTTTTGTTTTAAAACAAGTTAATTCTGAAGAAAATGAAATATGTAGAAATAAATAGTTTAGGGAGGTGAAGGGGATTCTCTAGAAAGAAATTGTCTATATGGTGCCCTATTATTTCTCAAGGAATGGTATTTTTTGGTGATCAGAATCATGAAGCACAATGCATCATAGGCTGATAGTACATTTTTTGGATGCCTCAGCCTCCTCCAGGCTTTGTTTCCATGGGTTGTATAACCTGCAAAGGAGTACCAAATGAATCTAATTTTGGTTCCTTAAGATGCACCCGCAGTGATATGGTTGCTGGTGGTCAGTTTTCGGAACAAAGCATTTGGGATATATATGATGCCAAATTCTCGAAGAAGCCCTTTAGTTTATGGGTTATTGGAGATGATTTCGGACATTTCATTGTTCGCAGTGGCTTCAAGAAGCCTCCAAAGAGGCTTGCGTTGAAGCTTGCTGATCGAGATATGGCTAGTGGTCTAGATGATATGGTGGTTGACGCAGAAATCAGGACATTCTCTGCAGCCCTTTTTGATGATTATGGCAGTTTGGTAATCAATTTATGCTTTTCAGTACCTTTAATTTCTCCTGCACGTTTCTAATTGCCAAGTTGCTTAAATTTAGGTGTCTATTGATAGAATAAACTGCAACTGTTGGAAGATACTTTTACTAGGTTATAGATGCATGCAACCTGCAAAATGTTTTCAGTTCTACTTGTATAACTAGATGATTCTAATATATGGCATCTCCTTGTTATGATATCAAGATTACATATATGTAATATGATCACCTTTGATGTAGTAGTATGAACATAATTTTCCAATTTCCTGACTTAATGTTTGGTCAAGCTGTCAAATTCAGTTTTTTTTTTTTTGGGTAACTAACTGTATAAATTACTAAAGCAGCAAATAGGTACAAAGTATCCCACAGTGTCAAACAAGCTTCAAACACTGATCGAAAAAAGCAAAATTACATCAAGAACCCTATCTCGTAAACATCAGCCTAAGGATAGTAATTAAGCATGGGTAGCCTAGAATGCAGACGATCAAATAGAGACCCCTTGCAGTGAGTTGCTTGAGCAGCCAGTCTTATGAGTATTTCAGGGCTTCTACTTCTCATCTGATACAGTCTCAAGTTCCTCTCGTGCCACACCAAGTAAAGACAACATGTTATGGATAATCTGTAAAGCGCAGCTTGCACTGAGTTGCCTTTGGCATGAGCAATAGCCCACATCACTTTATCCTTCCATTCCAGAGATGATCTTTGAGTCCTAGCCATTAGAGAATTCTGTCCCAGATAGTAGATGAGTAATGGCATTTGAAGAAAAAATGATCTAGACTCTCATCATTGTTAGTGCAAAGGGAACAAGACAGGTCATGTCTAGGACTCCATTTTGCTAATCTGTCTCTAGTCAGCACTCAGCAACCTTTTCCACAGAGCCAAATACAGTATAAACTTCTCCCTAGGGGCTCCATGGTTGTTACATGGTAATTTCCTCCATTCTACCTTTGTATAGTCACCTCCCAATTTGCAATAGACCACCTTTGTGCTGAATTTAGTTCTGAGGGTGACATCCTGCTTCTTGTAGCCAGCTATTTCCAATGTTCTTTTGGCATTGAGAATCTCCTTAATAGTGCATGATGCTCGACTATTATTAAGATCCCAAACACTTCCACCTTTGATGTAGTACACATGGACCAGTTGGATCCATAGCATGTCCTTTTTCAAGCACAGATTCCAGAAATGTTCACTAATAGCTGTTCTATTCCAATCAGTAATGTCAACGAAGCCAAGGCCTCCAGCAGTTTTCAGCATAGCATGTCCTTTTTCAAGCACAGATTCCAGAAATGTTCACTAATAGCAGTTCTATTCCAATCGGTTATGTCAACGAAGCCAAGGCCTCCAGCAGTTTTCAGCTTATTTTGAGAAGTTTTTCTTACCAAAAGTGCTTTTCAATGAATTGCCTTGGGAGGTACCCAAAGTGTGGTGAATGAATTGGTTGAGAGCCATGAGGTCTTAGGTTCAAATCTCAGCGGAGACAAAGCACCAGGTGATTCTTGTCATCTGTCCTAGCCTTGGTAGATAAAGTTACCTGGTACCTGATGCTGGTGGGAGGTGACTGGTATCCTGTGGAACTAGTCAAGGTGAGCGAAAGCCTGTCCGGACACCATGGTCATAAAAAAAAGTGCTTCGGGAGAGTAGCAATTTGTGATTGGCTAATATTGTCGAAGTGTTTTAACTATCAAACTACGAAAAAGGATATGCATATAGTTGTCAATTATTTTTGATATGGATATTCTTGTCATAAAAGAAATTCAAAAGTACTTATTTTTAGGAGAAGCTACACTTTTCTGCTGATGCTTCAAACTGAAACAAAATTTCTGCTACTATTCGAAACACTTATTTATAGTAAAACTATAAGAAGTGCTTTTATTGAAAAATAAGCACTTTTCATCTTTCAATGTCTTGGCCAAACAAGTTATGAATGCTTCTACGTGCTTTTTGTTACTGTGGATTATGTTGACACTTGAGAGAGTATATGCATTATCAATTTATCCCTCTTACTGTTCTACCCAATTTGCAGATGGTTCTGTAACGTGTCTTTCAGTGACATAACTTTCAATTTACATCAAAGGTCTAACTATCTGAGTTCCAGTGTGACCTTTTCCTTGGCTGCTAGATCATACAATGATACGTATGACTCTCGGGAGCCTCTTTTGGAGCGAATTGACAGATTATTGAGGTTTTTCTTCTATTGGCTTTTGTAAACATCCCAGTGCTTCTTTCATTGTTAGTGTAACAGTTCTACTAATCAGTAAGATTACGATAAACTATGATTTTTCTTCTTTGCTATGGAAACTAATTTTAGGACCAACCGTGACACATCGTGTGAAGTGTTCTCTTCCTTGTCATGTTTGTTGTATGAAATTGATACATTACTTGATCATGGAACTACTGATTGATTATATGCAAGTTATTTGACTTCATTTGAATTATTTATTTCGTAGACAAAGATTAAGTTCCTTTCTTGTCTTGCTCAAATATTGCTTCATTTTCCAATAATTAACATATTATACATGTTCAGGTGCACTTCAATAACCTTCTTTTCAGCCTTGTCATTTTGTATCATAAGTGTGAACTGGAACTGCAACTTGTTTCAATCTTGCCATTATATTATGAATTGTGTCTATATTAGAAGCACAGAACCGTTAGTCAAATCAGTCCTATTTTGAATTCTGTGCCTGTTTTTCTTAGCTGCTCCTTTAGTCAAATCAATCTTTGCTTTGTGGGATGTCTACTTATTAGTGAATATGACTCAGAAATGCAAGAGAATACAATAAACCCCTACCCTCTACTGGATGTCAATGTCGGGGCTCAACAACGATGAAGAGGCAGCTCCTAACTTGTGGTGTCGTCGTGGGTAGCTCTTATGTTCAGACTCTAGGAAAGAAGACAACAACTGAAAGGATGAGTACACAAAGTACTCAGTAGGTATCATCGGCCTCTCTCCATACTAGTCTTTGAGAAAACACGAATATATTATATATTGAAATTATATATCATAAGTTATACTATCAGTAGTTAAGATATCATGTTCATGCTTTGTACTCGTTCATCGTGTCATTTCAACATAGCTTTTGTTATAAGATACACTCCTATTTTGACCACATTTGAATGGTTCTTTGAAATTATAACATTGATCATAAGCCATATACAATCATATTCTTTTATCAGTAGTACATATATCGCACACGTACATCATGATGTTCGATCACCTGCCTGGTCGATTAGGGAATATATCTTTTCTCAATATGAATAAGAACAAAAAACATTGCTAGCAAGCCCCAGATACAAGCACACTATGGAACTTTGTCTCATTGTACTAGAAGAGGAAGAAGAACAATAAATTGTATGTATTTTATACGTTGGGTTTATGTTATTTGTATGACCAATATATCAGTGGACATAAAGTGACAAAACACCACACACAAAACACTTGCAGCAATTATTTTATTTTTTAAAATTTTGTATATCAATTTTATGTTTTTACCCCAATTTTATATCTTATCCATAAAAATTTCAAAATCCATATGCTCAAATATTTCACAACCCTATTATAAACTTGTACTGTACCATCACGGCCAAACAAATTTCATGTAGCATATTAACATTTGTATCATTTCACTCGAGTTATATGATAGTAAGCTAACGCATGAATTGAATGCATACAATGTATATGGTGCCACAAATAATTGATGTCCCTAGGGATGGCAATGAAACGGGGCAGGGCGAGTTTGACTAAGCTTTGACGTTTGCTAATAATTAGGCCCCTCTAATATATATATATAGGTGATATGAACGTGATACATTTAAGAAATAAAGCTTCACAAGTTCAAAAAATTATACCAAAATTTGCATACCACAATTTTTAATTTTTTTTTAATGTAGGGTGGATCAACATAGTGCGGAGCAGAGTGGATTAAAAATATAATTTTTTGTTATATGAGGCAAAGAGGAGCAGATTGAAATCTTCTTGATTTTGCACGGGTTTGCCTCGCCTACTCCATTGTCATCCCTAGTTATCCCCTACAAGCATAAGTTCACATTGAATTGACGTATAACTGTTGTCCCTTACAAGCATAAGTTCACATTGAATTGACATATAATTGTTGTCCCCTATAAGCATAAGTTCACATTGAATCGACGTATAATCGTTGTCCCCTAAAAGCACAAGTTCACATTGAGTCACTATAGCATTTAAAACACGTGTTTTGAAGAAAGCACCAAAATAAAAAGTTCGTCTCCATTGATATTAACTTTGGCGTGAGCGAATATCCTATTGACCAACAATTTCTCAATTTAGTGAAAGTCTAAAAAAAATTATTGTTTAATTAATTAACTTGTTTGATCAAGTTTTTGGAAGGAAATAAGGAGTAGCAATTTTATCTTCTGTCAAACAAAACTATATACTAGACTTAATTGACATTGCTCTTTACTGAATATAGATGTATCTGTTAATAATTCTTCTGTCAAACAACACTAGATACAAGAAATGAAAAAACAACATTATCAGATACATGCCATTATATCGGATACAAAACAAGATTATAAAGTTTAATTTTGAGATTGAAAGATACATAGCATTAATTTCATATACATATAGAGGATTTTAATTTCACAATCATGCTTAATCCATCCAATACTCAAAAAAAGAAAAAGAGAAATCGACATCTACTGAATCGAATACAAAACAAGATTATAAAGTTTAATTTTGAGGAACTGATGTATCTTCATGCATCTCACTCCAAATATGATACAAAATTTCTAACTAGGGAAATATTTTTTACTTAAATAATATATTTTATTTGATTAATTACCCTTTTTAATGTTGCTTTATATTTATTACCATTTATGATATAACTTTAGCTTTAATAGCAATTTCATATTTGATACCATCACAGTAAATATACTCTAGTGATAACAAGGAAGAAAAAGTCATTTAAGTGAAAATACTACTAACTTACTCCTTGATATCAAAGAGTGATTTAGTGAAAATACTACTCAGTGACTCCTTGATACCATTAGACTATATATATACCCTGGTGTATCAAGTGTATATATATATATATACTCTAATGGTACCAATTTTAGCTAAACCACTAAAGAAAAAGTCACTTAAGTGAAAAACTACTAAATTACTTCTTAATACTATTTGAGTATATGTATACTCTAGTGGTATCAAAGAGTGATTCAATGAAACAACTACTAATTTACTCCTTCATACCATTAGGATATATATATAACCACTACTAATTTACTCATTGATACCATTATGGTATAGATATACTCTGGTGGTATCAATACTTATTTACTCCTTCATACCATTATGGTGTATATATATATACACAGACCCTAATGGTATTCAAAATGTATTATAATTGTTGTTTATTTTTTTTCTCATACCTGAATTTTAAATATTCAAAAATTATTCAAATTAGTTTATGTGTTACTATATAAACTATAGTTGTAATACAATTTGAATTCAATATTATAATTGTTATAAATTTCGATTGTTGTTATTCCAACATATATAATACATTTTAACAACATAAAATTAATTTAAATTGTACCAAAATATTTGAAATTCATACATAATACTTATAAGACATTTTTATTAAAAATATTTTAGTTATATATTCAACACATGCATTGAAACATGCCTATAATTGTATATATATTGAATTCAAATATATTACAAATGTTATTTTTTTCTCTTAATAATGATGTTAAAATTTAGTATTGTATTAAATGTATTTTAGTTATATATTCACAATGTGCATTAAAAAATGCACATAATATTTATAACATATTGAATTCAAAATGTATTACAAATATAACTTATATTTATTTATTTTATTAATGATGTCTATAATTTTTTAAAATAAAATGTTAATATTCAAAACATCCTTAAACATTAAAATAGTTGAAATTTAAAAAAGAAAAGAGAGAAAAAAATAACTAGAAAAGAGAAGAATGGAAGAGAAAGAGAATGATAGAAGAAGAGAGAAAGAAAATGACGGAAGACAAGAGAAGGAGAGAAACAAATGACCGAAGAAAAAAGAAGAATGCAAGAGAGAGAAAATTATGGAAGAAAAAGAGAGAAATAAAGAGAATGACTTGTTTGTGACTGATTTGTATAAGAATAAAAGATGTCATAATTTATAAATAAAATTATATAATATATTATTTGTGTAAGTTGGCCTTGAAAATATAGAGAGAATTAATATGATATAAATGTATGTTAGAGTTAGGTCATTTTTCCTATAAACAAAAGCAGTATAACACAAAATGTTAGGCCTTATTTGCATGGGCCAATGGCATCTAGTTATGTTATTATATAAATGAACAAATGATGTTGATTGATTGTTGTAGGCATTTGGATTTTCACCCTAAAATAACTTAGGATTAATATGGTATAAATGTATGTCTGAGTTGGGTAATTTTTCCTATAAACAAAAGCAGTTAACACAAAATGTCAGGTCTGTGCTAACATGGGGCAATGGCATCTAGTTGTTATATAAATGAAGAAATGATATTTGACTGATTGTCGTAGACATTTCCATTTTCACCCGAAAAAAACTTAGGAAAATGCAAAAGTCCAATATCATTAATAATCTCCATCACATTATATTTTTTCCACCGACAGAAGAGTAACAAAGAAAATGACCGTTTGAATTGGCTTAAAAGTTAGTCAAATCTACTTTTAAGTCAGTTTTTTGCTTCTGAAAATAAGTCAAAAATAACTTAAAATAAGTTATGAAGTGTTTGACAAGGTAAAAAATGACTTGAAATAAATCAAAAACCAAAAGTAGGTCTCTCCCTACTTTTTTTTTTTTACTTAAAAGTCATTTCAGTTTAACTTTTTATTTTTGACTTAAAAGCTACTTTAAACGAAATTCATAAATAGAAAATATCATAAATATAAAAAATTACAGTATAGCATCACCTTATTGTAGCTATAGTATAGCATCACCGACAGAATGTTTTTTCCATTGTTGTTGTAATTGCTTGTTCTATTACATTGTTTTAAGTGATGAAAATTTTCTTTTACAACACTTCATGGCTTCTACTGCTTGAAGATAGTGTCATTGTCTTCTTTGAGACATAGATAGTAACATTGTCTTCTTTGAGACATCTCATGTTTTTCCCACCGCGAATTAGTGAAAAATTTATGTTATACAACATGATTTTCTCATTCATTTTTCACCGAATCAGCTTGCTGAAAAAAATGTATGGTGATAATGGGAAGTTACATAAACCCCACTAGTTTAGGAGCTAATTACTTAAATACACTCTAGTTTGTAATATTACGTATTTCGAATATATTTGGTCAAATTTAAGTGTAATTTGTTCTAGATACATTATATTCAAGTGGATTTGCATGTATCTGGATACATAGCAAAGATCGCTCACCTCTATCGCCACTCCAACGTATTTGAATCCCAGATGCATGTGAATCACTCCAGATACATGTATATAGTGTGTATCTAGTATGATTCACATGTATCTATGATTCATACGAATTCTCGCTTGCCGCCCTCTACATTCTTACTCGCCTCTCTCCCTATTTTTATGGATCTGATAGCAAAAATACATGTATCTAAATATAAGATACGTAGGAAACTCTTAATTAGTGGCAATATACGTAATATTTTAAAAATATAGATAATAATAATATATATGATAGTGTAATATATTTAATTAGGTAGTTTTTCCTAAATAAATTCTCACAGAAATAATGAATAGCTTCCTATTTTTTCTATATGAAATAATTAAGTACTATTTTTTTTAAAATATTAATTCAATCAAAATATCTATAAAAATTACAACGATATACTATTAAAATTTAGGCATAATACATATATTGGACCCTAAACTTGGCTTCAAATTTCAACTTTGACCTCCAACTTTCATAGTGCACAAACAAGCACTTTAACTATCCAACCTTTTAATAAATAAACACGCGATTTTTGGAGCAAAGAGCGTGAAATGCAAATGCTTCCACGTGTATTAGTGAGCCAATCAATGGCTGCCAACTAATTAAATACTTTACACGTCCATTTTAGAACTTAAAAAAAAAAAATTAATTAAGGGTAGAGCTGTCATTTCAACATTTTTTTTACTGTTGTGTGCCTTGAAAATTACTCCCAACTCGCGCAAAATACGTGCATATCACGCGTTTTGCCAGGTAAGACACGCGTGTTTATTTATTAAAAGGTTGGATAGTTAAAGTGTCTATTTGTGCACTTTGAAAGTTGGAGGTCAAAGTTAAAATTTGAAGCCAAGTTTAAGGTCCAATATATGTATTATCCCTAAAATTTAAACGTGAAAGTTGTGATTATTTAGTACTGTATCATGAGTGATGAACCAACAGTATTTATTATTATTTAGCTTTACACACCACATGTAAACTTAACCATAGCACCTAATGTATCTATTTTTTCTTAGTTTGAATGTGGCTAATATTTAATGAAACTTTATATGTGTTTTTTGTTTCAACCAAATCTTAGCGCTACTGAACTTATCACCTGTCGGTAGGGGTGTGCAAACACCGATTTAACCAATAAATTGAACCGAAAAAAACACTATTGGTTTATTGATATTGGGTTATTGGGCTAACGGTTTTTAAACGGTTTTGCAAATTTTTTTATTGGGTTATTGGTTCGATTTCCGGTTTTATAATTTTTGTTAATGGTTAAACCGATAACCCAATAAGACTATACTAAATTTACTAGTCTTATTGTTAATGGTTAAACGATTGTTATTTTCACACTTTTTCCTTTGAATGTGTCTAGTGTCTAAACTTGCAAGAAAAATGATTGTTACTCTTCTGATTATTACTTTCATGCCAAATGCTGGAAAAATCATATGGTTTATTTGAAAATTTTCTTATCGTGTATATAATATATATGAGTATTTTCTTATTGGTTAAACCGAAAATCGAACCGTTAAGTACCATAAACTGATTAACCAAAAACCGATAAGAAATATGTTATTGGTTTGGTTATCGGTTTGAAGTATTTACAAACCGAAAACCGATAAACCGAACCAATAACACCTAAAACCGAACCGAACCGACCGATGCGCACCCTACCTGTCGGTATTATGTTGAACTATTTTTGTGTTGGAAAAAAAAAAGGTTAGCTCATTCCCTACTCCTCCAAAGAGCTTATCCCTTTGGTTTTGGTTTTCATTCGGTATTCGATATTTATATTGACGAGCACGATTAAATTTGGATTCGCGCTAGAAAGTCGATCCACATCTGGGGATAAATCTCACGACTCTATATCCAGAGACGTAAACCCGAGATCTCTTAATTAAGGGTGAATGAGTACTTACCACTCTGATACTCCACCACAATATCTTTTATAATATTCGAAAGGAAAATGATTTTATCCTTTTCCTTCTCAATATTATTAAAGATAATCCTTTATCAATGATTAATTAAAGAAAAAGTTGTATACATCAATTATTTGGAGTTCAATTAAAATATTTAATAAATTGAATATAAAAAATAAAAAAATATTTTCTTCCATACCGAACGCACCCAAACTAGACGAAAACCTCTTTAAAAAGTTGACTTTGAAAGGGAAGACCAAATAATAATTAACCTCAAAGTCTTATTATTGATTTAGTCTTGGCCAATGGCAAGTTTTAATTAGTTCTGTACTACACTGTTTTTTTATGCAATTTAATTTGTACTTTCTATTTTGAAGTGAAGAAGGTAACAAAAATTTAAAATTCACTCAAATAAAAATTTAGAAGCCATAATAGTGGAGTATCATAATTATAAGACTAATTAATTTTCATTTAGAATAAGATAATATTTTTAAGAAACTAAATTTTATTTTGTTTGTTTATATATATACTTATAATTCTTGTGTCTATCTTTTCCTAATTTTCCAAATAAACTTAATTTTTTTTTGTTCCCCATCCGGTGTCCGAAAGCCCACATTAGAGCTTCAATTAAATTGGAATCACGCACCACAGAACCCATTCACGGGTAGCGCTCCCAACTGGATAAACAAACTTAAGTTATCCTAGTGAATACGTACAATTTTTTTCTCCATATTCTTTGTTGTTTTATGTTGTTAATTATTAGTATGCTATTAACGTTGTTATATCTTTTTCAAGTATGTGAGATAAAATACTTTATCATAGAATTTAATTAATTAATTAAGAAGACTTTGGAGTACCCTAGTTGGTATTTTATCCCCTACTTAATTAAGTTAATAAAAAGCAGGTTGAGGTAGTACTTCAGTGAGGTTACTTGGAAACAAAAGTATATTTTTATAAAATTTCATATTTTTAATTATGAATAAGCTTCACATCGATCGATTTTTTTGGGGAAAATTGTAGAAATAACAAACTATTAATTCAAATTAAATGCTATAGCCATAGTTTATTTTACTTGTAATTCGCAGCAAACATCCCATTTTTTTGCCATCTGATTCGGTATATACAATTAGCCATTTTATACATTTCGGTATAGAATGCGTTTGTGTTTGTATAAAGCGAGAGAAAATTGTATATACAAATACAAATACATATATTTTCGTCTTATACACTTATAATTATACAAATACAAATCTTATTATACGAATTACAATGTATAAATGAATTTATACAAAACTGAACAATTTGTATAAAATTGGATGTATCTTGCAAATTATACAAATCAAAAGCTCCATAGCAAACGTAAAATTTGCTATGGAGCGCAATAATGCAAACTATAGCTATAACATACAAATATGATTTTTATGTTTGCTATATGTGAAAGTTTCTCATTTTTTTATGTTTCCTATTTATTTTTAATTTTTTTTTATGAATAAGCATCACATCGATCAATCATTTATGTGCTAACAAATTATATTATTCCTTTCATTGTAATTTGTTTCTCTTTATCCCTATCATTTTACACGACACATTTAAGATCTTAACTAAGACTTAAATGACATTTTGATATATTGCAAATCTTTAATTTTAAATAATAAAATTTAGAAGTCCTTTATTCTTTTTAAATTGTATCTGGAGTCAAATTAAAAATAAATAAATTAAAACAGATGGAGTAAATTATTGAGAAATTTTCGCAAATAACCTCTATAATAAACTTAGTTATGCTCCATAGCTACAATTTGCATATTTACAACTTGTAGCTACAGTTTAAGCTGCCTAGTTTGTATAATTTGCGGGTTTGTATGATTCACGGGTGAGTTTGTATAATTCACGAGTGAGTTTGTATAATTCGCGGGTATGTTTGTATAATTGAGCTATTTTTGTTTAAACTCGAAATAACGAAATAGAAAAGTTATACAAATTAGGGAAATTATATTATACAAATTCTGAATTATACAAACATGAGAATTATATAAACTCGAAACCTCAGCCACGTAATTATCACTAAATTTTGGTTACGAGTGACAATTAACTAAAACTATAGCTATGATGACTAATTAACTAGTATATGTTTGCTTAATTATTTAATTTTCCCAAAATTATATGATTGAAATAGAAAAATTTGCATTTGACTTTTGTCTATTAAAATATATATGGGGTAGTAGTTGTTTTAGCGTATAGGCTTCTTGGATAATGATTAGTACATACATCCATGTCTTAAATATTGTGTATGTTAAACATCTCTTATATATATAGGCCACTTTTACCTATTTGATTCCTATACAAAGCTCCAAAATATATATAGCATTGAACATGAAGGTATGTTGAAAAAAGATTAAATATAGCTAGGATTAATTGTTTGTTTTTTTTTTCTTTTTTTGTCCATGGCTAATCTAAGGTCAATTTGTTATACAGAAAAAAATTGTGATTGATATCCCAGTCAGCAGTGATAGGTGCATATCAAAGGCAATGCAGATGGCTGTAACTATATGTGGTAAGTTTTTTTAATTAAATCCCTACATTAAATTTGAATATTCGACGATCAAAGTCTCTAAATCCGAAAAGATTATATGTATTTTGTTTGTATGGGATAGAAAAATCATGGAATTGTTCCATCGAAAAGTCAAACAAACTTCCCACATGAGCTTCTATCGATTCATTCATCTGATCGTAAATTAGAGCCACTTTTGATTCTGCAACATATTATTCCTTCTAGATTCTTTTATTTTCATGTAAAGATCATTTCCTTAGCTTCTTGATTAGTTCGTTTAGCAATATTGTTGACCGGCCAATTTCATATTGAATACTTCTTCCATCCACTTTTAATTATTATAGTTTTCTTTTATAGAGTCAAACTATAAGAAATTTGATTAACAATTTATGATGTATGTTTTCATCATATTGATATGTAAAAAAAATTGCAATTTATAGTACTTCTCGTATTGTTTTTGAATATCTAAATTTTTTGTTCAAAGTATCGAATTAATGTAATTTAATTTAACTTTGACAATTAGTCATATTGACTGTCAAAAAGCGCAGCATAACCAGTGGCGGATCTAGAATTTTTATTAATCGAAAAAAAAAGAGCAATGCTTAAGATTTGAGGTTTGAACCCCTCAACCACTAAACCAACCTCTAATCTTATATTCAGGAGGTTCAAAATCAATATATAAACATAAAAATTCTTTAAAATATCTTAAATATACAACGTAATTTTTTGCCGAGGGGGTTCGGGTGAATCCCCTCGGCAGACTCTAGGTCCGCCCCTGAGCATAACAATAAAAAATGGACGGATGGAATACTTTTTTCTGTTCTTTTTAGTCTGTTTAAAAAAATGTTACTTTTCTATAACTAAACATAACTTTAACTTTAAAATTCTCTCCTTTTCTAAATAAAATAACTTATTTTAGATTTTAAATTCAAACTTATTCAAAATTTTGTGTCTAATCAAATGATGCAGGTGTTACATCGGTGAATGTAGATAAGGGAAAAGGCCATTTGATTGTGATAGGAGAAGGGGTTGATTCATTTGAATTGATGAGGTGCATAAAGAGGAGGTTTAGGTGTGCTAACATTGTGAGTGTTGAAGAAGTGAAGCCTCCCAATGATGAAGAAGAAAAAAAGAAGAAGGAAGCAGAGGAAAAGAAGAAAAAGGAAGAAGAAGCAAAGAAGAAAAAAGAGGCAGAAGATAAAGAAAAGTGTTGCAAATCATGTTGTGATTGTTGTCCACCATATTGCCCTCCATATTGTCCACCATATTGCCCTCCATATTGTCCACCAAACCCTCCATGTGTACAATATTATCCTGTATGCCAACCTGTTTATGATAATTATGATCCATCTTGCTCTATTTTTTGATTCCTCAAATAAAATGGAATTTTTGCTCAACCTAATACAAAGGATGCTCAACCATATTGCATTTACATGCAAGGGCATTTTACTATCCTATAATTTCGGCATAACAAAGCTTGCAAATGGTAATGAAGATAAGGTGTATTGAAGGGCGAAGAGAATGCAGTCAATGTTGAGTATCACTCGTGAAATTTATTGTTCCTATTTTCTGTCAGAAGTCATTTTTCAATTTTTAAGATATTTATTTTCCCGGAGAAAAAATATATTTCGGTTGTATTTATCAAATCAAACACGAGAAAATTGGAAAACATTACATTGTATACGAAAGCAATAAAATTATTTGGATATTCTCTTCGTCCTAATTTATTTAGGCATAATACATAAGTGTGCCCTTTAACTTGACCTCATTTTATATTTACACCCTCAAACTTTGGGTGTGCACAAATAGACACTTTAACTTGTATAAAATTTAACAAGTAGACACACGAGTCCTACGTGGCATAATACATGTAGGACACCACGTAGGACACAAAATGCCATGTAGGACATGTGTGTTTATATGTTTAACTTTATACAAGTTTAAGTGTCTAGTTGTGCAAATCCAAAGTTGGAGGGTATATATGTGATCTGAAGCCAAGTTTAAGGGCATATTTATGTATTATGCCATTTATTTAACACACAATTGGAATCTCAAAGAGTCTGCCAAGTTTATCTTTGATCATAAATTTCTTATATGCATTTTAAATATTTTAAATTGTTAATTATTACGATTTATAGTACTTTTAACTTTGTTTTCAAATATATAAATTATATTGCAAAAAAATTAAAACTTCTATGTCGAAATTCACTGTCAAAATTTACAATGGAACTAATTTTTTTTTTAACTTTATCCAGCAGCTAAAAAAATCTTTACTTTTTTCAGGATCTTTTCGTCAACCAACTTTTTCTTGATTACTTTCCATCCCTTTTTTTTCAAAGGAAGACCAACTATGGTTAAGAGAAACATAGTTCTTCTTTGTGAGTACCTTAATATTTTGTTTGAGGTAATCACTAACACTATGTTTGAATGATTATTATGTATTATAAAAATAGTTTACATTATCAATATATATATATATATATATATATAATTATTTGTGTTAATCCACCAGTAACACATAAAATAATATCAACATACATGCATCTCGACTTTTTTATATGTATGAAATATTCCATGGAATGAAAGAAATATGAAATGGTCATTCTACTCGTTTATAGAAACCCCCCCCCCCCCCCCCCCCCCGCACACATTTTCCAATATATGGTATTCTTTCCTTATTTGACTTTCACCAACTATGATTTATGTCAATATCATGGTTGTTAGTATTTCCATTGAAACTCAAGGATGTTTAACAGGTCATACTTCCAAATATTTTTAACTAATTCATTAAAATTCCCCATCTGAATATTTAACAATTTCAAAGAATGGGGGGGGGGGGTGTGTGTGGGAGGTAGGGGCTGCCTTCTTTAATAGATATTTTATACTTTTAATGATTAGCAGCTCCAACACGATTCTTGCCTCAGAAGAAGGATATCAACATATATATTTCCATTTTTTAAAAGATTAATTACAATAAATATTCCTATTATATGATTTCATTTTGGATATACTTCATGTCTTTTAAAATCAGACATTTACATCCCTTATATGACTGAAAATCATTTACACCCCAAAATTTTGGTTTAAAATCAAACTCCCTCCTCAACTTTGAAAAATAATTTTTTTTCCCCGCTATCCTATGCAAAGTCCATTTTACCTTTGTCATTTTTAATACTCCATCTTTATAACATTCTTTTTATGTTATACATTATATCTTATTTTTTGACCATTGTATTTATAAATTTATTTAAGTTCATTAACATTATAAGTGAATACTCCTTTTATAAGTCTAACCATTACTGATCCTACATTTGGGTAACATGAGTAGTTCACACTATCCATTTATTACACTCACTAGCTGTTTATTTATCTGGTGCTTTATTACCATAGTAATTTTTTTTGGTTTCGCACACAGTGTTTGGAGTCCACATTAGAGCTTTGATTAAATTTGGATCGCACACTGTAGGGCCTATTCAGGGACATAGGATAAAATTGGAACAGGGAAGATTACTGCGCAAAAATGACATACACAAATCGAAAAATCATCCTAGTACTTATTACTTACTATTAGACATCCCACACATATCCACTACAATCCAACACAACCAGTGGCGGAAGGGATTCGAATTGGGGTTGGCTGGGAAAATTGAACCCTCTTAACCACTCGACCAAGGGTCACACTTGTGTTAGTGGGGTCAAAAGTTAATATATACATATAAAATTTTAAAAACTGATTAAATATACATATATATACGGTGTTATTTTTCAATGAAGTGGGTTTATATGAACCCACTTGACCCACTGTAGGTCTGCCTCTGAACACAACTATATCACGATTAACGACAATCATTTGTCTATCACAAATTATACACGTACATAAACTCAAATATAGGTTAAACAAGGGCCATCATATAAACTCCTGTCTAGCATATCCTACTTACCAACCACTAAACAAGCGAATCACCCAAGAATACCATAATGACTAGGGTGTATACACTATGATGGGGTTCCAATAACTAGGGTATATACACTATGATGGGGTTTCAATAAAATAGGCAATAATTAATCTCTGTCTGTGTGTGTATTTTTTTTTTAAAAACATTGCCTGCATTGATCTTGGAGTGCAAAAAGTTACAAGTTTGGCATCCCAAACTATATACAAGATCATTGAGAAGAGGCTATTATATTTGTACTACTCCTATCCAAAAAAGGTCCTAATGACCGAGAAATCTAAGGAGGTTCTAAGGGATGGAAAACCCCACTTGTCCATATTAGTGAGCCCTTTAATAGCTGCTGGCAGATTAGAGAAGGAGTTGAATATTTGAATTCCATTACTTCCATGGCTTAGCTAGGGAGGCTAACTTATTGGCAATTTTGTTAGTTTCCCTGTTGCAACGAGTTATTGTAAATTCATTCTCTTCAAATAGTTTCTGAATGTCTTCTATGAGTCTTGAAATCATCCATGAGGGCTTCCATACTTTGTTTATGCAATTTGTAAGGAGTAGAGAATCAATTTCTCCCCAAATTGTTCTAGAGTCATGAGTTGATCACCATTTCAGCCCATACATCATTGCGGCTGCTTCAGCATAGTTGCTCGTCCCTGGTCCTAACGGTATAGAATATGCAAAAATGATCTTTCTAGTGGAGTCTCTTACATTCCCTCCTCCTCCGCATATCCCGTTTACACAACTTCCATCACTATTAAGTTTCAATGTATTAAAGTGAGGTCTGATCCACTTCACAATTATGACCTCATTTTGCTGGTTGTTGTAGTCACAAGCCTGTCATACTGTTTTCCAATTATCTCCAAACCTTGCCCTTCCGAATTTCTTATTCAAGACCTACAAAATATTGAACAAGATGTTAGAGACTGATTTGTAAACTGAAGGGTTTTCCGCCTCCTATTTGTTGCTGCATCTAGTTCGCCAAATTTCCCAACAAATGAAAGTCGGGATGATCTTGATAATAAGGGTGCAAAAAGGATTCTTGGTTGTGTGATTCCACCAATTTAGTAGAGTGAATCTCAAATTGATATTGTTGGTGCTTATGCCTAGAGGTCCTGCAAAATAAAACCAAATTTTTCTTAGCAAAGTTCACAAGACAAAACAAATGATCCACTAATTCAAGGTCAGTGGACACTCTGTTTGAGTTACAACAGTAGCATTTTGGATCCATTGGGATCCCAAATCTCGCAATCCTTTGGTTTGTAGAAAACTTGTTATGGATGTCCCTCCATGTAAGAAAAGACATCTTGAAAGGGATGTTTTGGTGCCATAGTCTACTGTCCATGTTGTTTGGGATCCTTTCTTGTCTCAGCTCCCTCCATGCAGATCCTATAGTGAACTTTCCCGTGTGTGAAAGTGTCCATATAGGCTTGTCTTCCTTGTTACAAAAGGCAATAGGGCTATGATGATTGTAGATCACTTTTTTCACTTCTCCAGGGATAAATATATTGAGCCTGTTCCACTCCCATTCACCTTTGTGACAAATATATTTCAACTGAATATCAATGATATTGACATTATTGTCCACTTGATGATACAAGGGACCAAGACTGCACTAATTATCATACCAAAATGATATATCTCGTCTGCCAATGCTCCAAAAAATATTATGATCAATCATATCTTTTGTACTGTAGAGCTCTTTCCAGCTCACCCACTTTTGACCTCTAAAGCGAGTGACGAGGAACCTGGTGAGGAGCCCATTAACGTCACACCTGGAGTAAAGTGGATCAAGAGGATTGACACGGCAAGGCAGGTTGTGGAGATCTTAGGCAAGCGCTTGAACAAGGTCAATGTCAAGTTTAAGACTCTCGAGGACTTCACCCTTGAAGAGAATGACAACATCCACAAAGAGTTGGAGGCGCGTAGGCATGCAGAGTATGAGATGAAGGAAATCATCACTTCTTTGGTGTGTCGGCTCATGGATGCATTAAGAACGATTAAAACCATGAAGGTCGAGATGGAAACTCTCAAGGAAGGATTGAAAGCTGGAGGACTTGTGACACCCAATGGAGATAGGGAGGCCAAGATTGAGTCTCCCAAGCCACCGATGTTCAAAGACGTCTGTACTGTGGAATTTGGAGAATTACTTCAAGTGAAACAAGGTGAAGAGTGATGAGAACAAGATGAACACTGCGGTGTTGTACCTCTCAGAGATGGCCATGCTATGGTGGAGGTGAAAAGAGTTGGAAATAGGGAAGGGGCTTTACACCATCAACACATGAGAGCAATTCCAAGGGGAGTTCAAGAAGGCTTTCTTCCCTAACAATGTCATCTATGAGGTGAAGCGCAAACTTAGAGAGCTGAAGCTGATCGGAAGCATACGAGCGTACGTGAATGAGTTCACCACCCTCATGCTTGAAATTCCCAA